AGTTCTGTACATGAGCCTCCATGTTTAACAACTGCAGCTCTGTGCTCAATCTGTACTGACCTGGAGTGCGGCGTTTACTGTAGGCTCATCACTCATACCTCTGACATCCGTCCGTCCGTCCGTCCGTCCGTTTTCTTCCGCTTCATCCGTTGCCGGGTCGCGAGGGCAGCAGTCTAAGCAGAGACGCCCAGACTTCCCTATCCACACACACTTCCTCCAGCTCGTCCGGGGGGACCCCAAGGCGTTCCCAGGCCAGCTGAGAGACATAGTCCCTCCAGCGTGTCCTGGATCTTCTCCGGGGCCTCCTCCCGGTGGAACGTGCCCGGAACACCTCCCCAGGGAGGTTTCCCCCGGAATAGATGCCCGAGCCACCTCAACTGGTTCCTCTTGACATGGAGTAGCAGCGGCTCTACTCCGAGCTCCTCCCGTGTGACTGAGCTCCTCACCCTATCTCTAAGAGAGCGCCCAGCCACTCTGCGGAAGAAGCTCATTTCGACCGCTTGTATCCGCGATCTCGTTCTTTCGGTCATTACCCAAAGTTCATGACCATAGGTGAGGGAGGGAACGAAGATTGACCGGTAAATTGAGAGCTTTGCCTTTCGGCTCAGCTCCCTCTTTACCACAACGGTCCGATACAGCGACCGCATCACTGCGCACACTGCACCGATCCGCCTGTCAATCTCACGTTCCATCCTTCCCTCACTCGTGAACAAGACCCCGAGATACTTGAACTCCTCCACTTGAGGAAGGACCTCTCCACCCACCTGAAGAGGGCAAGGCACCTTTTTCCGGTCGAGCACCATGGCCTCGGATTTGGAGGTGCTGATTCTCATCCCAGCCGCTTCACACTCGGCTGCAAACCGTCCCAGTGCATGCTACAGGTCCTGGTTCGTTGGAGCCAACAGGACAACATCGTCCGCAAACAGCAGAGATGAAATCCTGCTGAGATGAAACCCCCAAAAGAACACCCCGGGGAACACGGTCGAACGCCTTCTCCAAATCAACAAAGCACATGTGGACAGGTTGGGCGAGCTCCCATGAACCCTCGAGTATCCGATGAAGAGTATAGAGCTGGTCCAGTGTTCCGCGGCTGGGACAAAAACCACACTGCTCCTCCTGAATCCGAGATTCGACCATCGGCCGTAGCCTCCTCTCCAGTACCTTGGAGTAAACCTTACCAGGGAGGCTGAGGAGTGTGATCCCACGATAATTGGAACACACCCTCCGGTCCCCCTTCTTATAGAGAGGGACCACCACCCCGGTCTGCCACTCCATCGGCACCGCCCCCGATCGCTATGCGATGTTGCAGACACGTATCAGCCAAGACAGTCCCACAACATCCAGAGACTTTAGATAGTCAGGACGGATCTCATCCACTCCCGGCGCCTTGCCACCAAGGAGGCTGCCAACCACCTTGGTGACCTCTGCCAGGGAGATGGAAGTATCCACCCCAACATCTTTAGCCTCTGCCTCCGGGACGGAGGACGTGACGGGGTATTCCTCGAAGTATTCCTTCCACCGCCCGACAATATCCCCAGTCGAGGTCAGCAGCTCTCCACCCGCACCGTACACGGTGTTGGCAAAGCACTGCTTCCCCCTCCTGAGGCGCCGGACGGTTTGCCAGAATCTCTTCGAGGCCGACCGATAGTCCTGCTCCATGGACTCTCCAAACTCCTCCCAGACCCGGGCCGCGGCACGCTTGGCCTGCCGGTACTGGACAGCTGCCCCAGGAGTCCCCCGAACCATCATGGCTCGATAGGACTCCTTCTTCAGCCTGACGGCATCCCTTACTGCCCGGTGTCCACCACCAGGTTCGGGGGTTACTTGCGACCACAGCTACGAGCTGCCGCATCGGCGATAGAGGAAGAGAACATGGTCCACTCAGACTCAATGTCTCCCTCCTCCGCCGGGACCTGGGAGAAGCTCTCCCGGAGGTGTGAGTTGAAAGTCCGTCTGACAGGGGGCTCAGCGAGACGTTCCCAGCAGACCCTCACTACACGCTCGGGCCTGCCAGGTCTGACCGGCTTCCTCCCCTGCCAGCGGATCCAACTCACAACCAGGTGGTGATTGGTTGACAGCTCCGCCCCTCTCTTCACCCGAGTGTCCGAGACACGCGGTCGAAGGTCAGATGATACAACAACAAAGTCGATCATCAACATCGGGCCTAGGGTGTCCTGGTGCCACGTGCACCAGGACACCCTTGTGCTCGAACATGGTGTTCGTGATGGACAAACTGTGACTAGCACAGAAGTCCAACAACTGAACACCGCTCGGGTTCAGATCAGCGGGGCAGTTCTTCCCTATCACCCCTCTCCAAGTGTCACTGGCATTTCCCACATGGGCGTTGAAGTCACCCAGGGGGAATAACGGAGTCCCCTGGCAGTGCACCGTCCAGTACACCTCCCAAGGACTCCAAGAAGGCCGGGTACTCTGCACTGCTGTTAGGCCCGTAGGTCGTCACAACAATGAGAGACTTGTCCCCCACCCGAAGGCGGAGTGACGCGACCCTCTCATTCACCGGGGAGAACTCCAACACGTGGCGGCTGAGATGGGGGGCAATGAGTATGGCCACCCCAGCTCGCCGCCTCTCCCCGCGAGAGACACCAGAAAAGTGGAGCGTCCAACCCCTCTGAAGGAGTTGGGTTCCAGAGCCCAAGCTGTGTGTGGAGGTGAGGCCGACTATCTCTAGTCGGTATCGCTCGGTATCGCAGGTGGTGGGCCCACATTCGTCTTTGCTCTATGAAACTATAAAACTATACAGTGTTTCGGAGTTGCTTGGACAGGGCCTCATTCTCCTGAATGTGTGCAGTAACATCCATCAGTGCCAGGTGCATATGCCATTTTACTGTGTTTCCAGCATGGGGTTTCCTGAGGCTAACTCGACAGCCGCTTGTTTGTCGTTAATAATAGATATTATGCATGCAATCTAATACATTTATTGTACTGTATCTAAGCTCTGATAAACAACTATGCATTCAAACCAAATATTTTATTAGAGTTTGTTTTCAATTTGATGTCATGTTTTTGCGGACGGGCAAAGTTGAAATCTCTCGAGGTTATGTCCCCTCGAGACTAAGCATACTGTCTCTCCTTTGCTAGGATATATATTCAATTTTAGTTTAATGTTTATTAACTGATATATATGAAACGTATATTCATATTAGTTTTTACGTTTACCTATTATATACAAGTTGTTACAGCTAGCAGCTGTCAAGTTAGCCCTAGCCATAGCATCTCGACAGAACACCAGCGAATGTCATCAACGTCAGCAAAGTCAGTGTACGGCTATGTCCCCGGTGTGGGCGGGAGGAGGCAGGCTCACAAGCAAAGGAGCACCACTTGTTTCAATTGGTCAAACATCACCTCTATGCAAGTGGTTATAAATTCACAAGTTTTTACCCAAACACGCATGACAAGGAAGGACTGTGAAACATAAAGAAGAGCAAAATAAGGGATCATTAAGGACTAGGAAGGAGGACATTTTTACCTAATTCTGATCCAGGTATTGCGTTTGTTCTTTTCCCTTCTTCACTTCTTACACCAGTAGTAGTAGTAGTAGTAGTAGTAGTAGTAGTAGTAGTAGTAGTAGTAGTAGTAGTAGTAGTAGTAGTAGTAGTAGTAGTAGTAGTAGTAGTAGTAGTAGTAGTAGTAGTAGTAGTAGTAGTAGTAGTAGTAGTAGTAGGGCGGCACGGTGGCTGAGTGGGTAGCACTCTCGCCTCTCAGCAAGAAGGTCCTGGGTTCGAATCCCGATCGGACCAGGGCCTTTCTGAGTGGAGTTTGCATGTTCTCCCCGTGTCAGCGTAGGTTTCCTCCGGGTACTCCGGTTTCCCCTACCACTAAAAATATGTCCAATAGACATGTCTGGCATGCGCCTCCTGTACTGGAGCCCGCTCCCATCTCTGTGTGGAGTGAGAGACAAATGCCCATAATTAACAATTGTAAACCGCTTTGAGACTCAGATCTGCAGTGAAAAAGCGGTATATAAGTAAAGATTACTACTACTAGATGAAGTCCCAGATATATTGAAGATATTTTAATAATAAATTAAATCTATACAACTATTTCAAACATATCTTTCTGTACAAATATACATTAGTTAAATAATTGTTAACTTCAGACAATCAAAACATTCAGTGTTTCACAACAACAATTAGACAAAGAGTCTAAAGTGAAATGTTTGGAATCACGACATGCTATCATCATCTCATTGCAAACGTCTTTTGCATCCTTTAAAAAAGAGCCCATGTAAACTGCTCCTACACAAACAGTGAGAGACGAGTGCTGGGATCAACAGAGATGGTTACTGAAACATGCACACATACACACACAGTAAAGGACAGTGGGCTGTGAGCTCACTTCTTTCTAACCTAACTAACTTGCATTAGAAGTATAACACGTCACTATTTGGCATCAAACATGTCCAAAAGTGAACTCTGTAAATAAATAAACATACTGTGTTCTTCAGGTCTGTGCTGTGCCACATTTGGATTGGGGCTTCTGTTTCGAGCACCTGCTGCGGCAGATTATTTGACTCTTTGATCGAGAATTGATGCTGAGTGAGGGTAGTCCTCTCTTTTTCACTTTTCTAATGAACAAGCTGATCTAATAATGTGACGTAAGCCAAAAATACAACTAGTCACAAGAATTTGATCACCCCAATTTTTACAGCATAACAAAATAATTCTGAAAATGCGAATGAATGCAAACAGCTCTGTAGAACGTTTATGAAATGTCAAACTTCAGTGTAAGAACTTCAGTCTTTAGTCAACAGAAGACTAAGGTCTCATGTACTGCTGGGTTACCCATACAGATAAACCATCAACTACATCAAAAGTGTTCACAAATAATAGTAATTATCTTTGAATAATTATAAAAATTGGTCATGTTTATGTTCACAGTTTAAAACATTAGTTGAAATGAAATAAATAAATAAATTGCAATTCAGGCACTCCTGAAGCTGTGAATATGTTTCATGAACTAGAAATGACTTTTCTTCAGCATTACAGTCGAATTAATTGGGTGAAGAGGCCCGCCCTGGCTTCTACTTTTGGCCCCACGGCGGCTGGAGCACAGGGTGGCTCTCTACAGTCTTCTTTTGGGAGTGGATTCATGTTTGCTGAAAAGGCCTGAAAGAAATAAGAAACACATTGAACAATGACCTTTAATGTAAAGATGTGTTTGTATTTTGTGTGGAATGGTTCCCAACAAAGCTCAGAGGTAAATGGGAAACTGCAAGCACATTGACAAATGGCATCATTCTTAACACAACTGTCAGATTTTCACAAAATAATGCTTTTTTAGATGGAAAAAAATAATAAAACCATGATATTGTTCTTGTCTATAAGATTATTCAAGAGTGGGCTCCTTCTCCTCTTTAAGAGTTTCTTCATGTAGCAGAGGACTGCAGTGACTAATACTGTGATGTTCGTTTTATAAAACCCACATTTGGACAAACAACTTTTCTGTGAGGGCCACACACTCTGAACACTGTCCCAGCTCACAACAGGAACATCCCAACACTGAGAACCTTCACAACATTTCTCAAACAGTGGCTCGCAAACAATCAAAGCTGCAATCACTTGGCTGTTCTTCTGCCCTTGGACCAGGCATCTCCTCATTTATCAACTTCTACATTAGTGACACTGCATGTCTTTAATATGTCAACTCATCTCAACTATTTCTAGAGCTGCTCCTGCTGTATTTATGGCAGCATTAGGGCCTGTGCAGTCACCTATGTTTTGGCGGATGGCGACTGCGGCTGCCCCTTCCTGCTGTCTCCAAGGTGCTCATGTAACCACACCACCAAAGGTACTTTTTCCCACCAACTGCCCCATGGAGCAGCGGAAGGACCCAGGCTTTTCTCCTCTCCACGCTCCACTAGGGTTGCCACAATTTCAAATTTTAGAGTCATGATTATTATGAGAGAAAAGATTGCAATTAGTGTGATTATTCACGATTATCAACATAATGAAAGAAAATCAACTTAGATTGTTTTTTATAGTTTTTTGTTGGAAAGCAATAAATGGATAAATTAAGTTTATCATATCACATTTGATTTTTGTGTATGCATTACATTTAAAATATACATATATGTAAATAGATGAACACAATAGATATTGTATGATTATAAAAAAATTCATTTAAAAAAATCTATGCAGGAATTTAGTAGTAGCCATCGTCATAGTTGTAGTCCAGCTATTATGTCTGCATTTGTTTTGTTGACTAAGGATACATGTCAACAAAACAAATGCAAATCCTGTCCCTTTAAGAGTGGCTCCTGGCACACACTGGCACTAGTACTATCACTTTCACGTGTGCAAAGTCCTTTGCATTAATGTGTGGTAGCTTGTTCTGTCATCTTAAAGCTAATTTAATTTAATCATCCAGCTCCAGTACTGACCGAGCCGAGCATAGACATCTGGACATGGGTCCCTGGGCGCTGTACTACGGCGACCACTGCTTATGACAGAAGCCTTAGTGGCATCTGGATGGGTCAAATGCAAAGAACAAATTTTCCTACATGGACAATAAAGTGCACATAGACTTGGGACAGTCCAAGGCGGGGAGAGCCAGACTGATGCCGTTTTTCACCATTGGACCTGGGCCAGCCCTCGCACCGGGATCTCCCTGACTTCGAAGCATCGCTGGACACCTCTCTCTGATCTATGTTACAATCGTGGAGATGAGAGACAATGAGAGGGTCGACCACCCTCACATATGTTTTACACTATTTGTTTTGACAAATAGTGTTTTTTTTTGCCCAAAAAAGTAGTCAATGCAACCCAAGCCATAAATGTCTATCATGGCGCCATGGCAAACTATTTTTTATGTGAAAATTAAAACAGACCATGATTGTGGGCCCCATGGGGTGAGATAGCAAACTTGCATGCCGTAGTTATGCATTCGTTTTCATTTCCAGGGGATGCTTTCTTTTTTTGTATCTTTTTCAGGACCTTCAGTCACTTGCTGACCTCATCGACTTCTATTTGGGTCATTACATCATGACCATTCAGAAAAGAAACCGTAGCAACAGGCACTGTGTCACTGTGCTGCAGAATGGGACGTTTTAAGAGAGCCATAAGACTTAGAGTTAAATATGCACTCTTTATTACTATCATTAGTGAGTATGGATGATGAATTTCTCCCAACATTGTATCAATAAAGTAACTTTCTATCAGCCACTTGACACATTAATTTAAAAACATTCACAGATGCATGTGACTGTTCATAAAACGAGATTGTGAGTTTGCTTTTAGTATACCAATATTTTAGTACCTGACTGGACTCATTGGTACCTGGTTCTCAGCCAGTGCCTTCTTGGCCATGAACTGCTCTCTTTTTATCTTGATCTCAACATCCTCTGGAACATCCGGGACCAGAACATCAATCAGACAGCCCACGATGAACACCACATGCTGGGGGGGAGGACGGTGGTTAGACTCCTGAGGCTCCTTACAGCATACAGTTTAGAACTTACCACAAAGACAACAACAAAGGTCAGTCGGGCGGCCAAAAGCTGAAAGTATTCTGGCCGGTGGTCCCCATTCACATCCCTCATGTCCCTGTACCTGCATAACATCATGTTGATAGAAAATATATTATTTTAACTTGTTTCATGGTCATGATCATTACTATTATACCACATCACATCAAACTCATGAACATTTGTACAGCCAAACATGTCAGAATCAAATGTATTTTTACTGCCATTGTATCTTTGGTATACAGTAAGGAGGTAGGCCAAAAGTGTTTTGTGTCAGTATTTTGGGTATATTTATTTAAAGCGCATTTTACAGACCAAGGTCACCCAAAGCGCTTTACAATGTTCAGAAACCAGATATGTTTCCATACACACACACACACACGGTGATGATGTAAGCGAGAAAACACGGTGTAAACCAGTTATGAAAAAATAGGCATGCATAAAAAATCTTTAAAAATGTAGAAGATTAGAAACCATTAGTAACCACTGGGGGCGGTTCCCGAATCCAAATGTTCCATGAACATGTGCGCTGACATGCTTTCAATCTCACTGCGGACCCAGAATAAGACGTTTTTTTGTACCATTCTAGTTTAGCCACTGTGGACTTTTGAATGCACTCATTAAATTAATGGGGCTAGTTCTGGCTAATGCATGCACAAATGCCTTTTTTTCACAATTTCCATCAATATTTACACACAATAGTTTAGAAAGTGGCGTTATACGTACTAATAAAAGTGTGAAGCCCATTCAAATAGTGTTTAAACTTTTTCTACTTTATCATGAGGAGATGTATTCTGGGGGCGACAGTGGCTCAGTTGGAAGAGCATTGGCTTTTGAGCTTGGAAGTTGTGGGTTCGAGCCCACCACACGATTTTCTCCACTGACTCCCACTAACCCCCCACTTTGCCTGAAGCCCCAACTAAAAGATCAAGGTTATGCCACAGAGCAGCCGTTCTCCTGTGGACTCACCACCTGCAGGAGGATCAGTGAGGGGCTGGTGCTCTGTGAACATGTCTGTGGCATCTCTGGCCACCCACCCGACCCAGAAATGGATTAAAGGAGCTATACCTGTTTCTGCAAGTATTTTTTTCAGTTTGAATGTTTAGCACCGCCCCCCAACTCGCCCACAGGCCTCTCATTTCCCCTACGCTCTCCTGGCACAAAGCCATCTAGTTTTATTTGCCATCTGATACGTATGAAAACATTAGCATTAGCGCAACTTCTTGTAAGCTGTACAACTATCACTGATTAAATGGTACAAAAGCGAACGCACTGATGATAACTTCATTGATAACTAGCAAATAGTGTGAGTGGAGCACCCTTTTGATTCTTGGTTGGCTTCAAACAAAAAGTGTGCATACATCTGGCAGAATTTTTGCTCGTATCCTCTTCGAACGAGCTCTAATCGGTTTCTGCAATAAGGCACCTTGTGTGATGTCTGCACTTGATAAGTTCACTCCATGATTACCTACTTTCATTTGGAGAAAGAAATTAAGATTCTGAATCCAAGCAGTACAATAAATAAAATGTGAATTACATGCAGGTGGTGTCCTGATGTTTGGGGGACATGGACAAGGTGAAGTTGGCGAAGCCTCGGAGAGATGAGTCTCTGGTGAACTCAAAATAAGTTCTTTCCAAAAAGGTCGATGTGAATGCGATTAGGAAGGCCTGTCATAGAGAGGTCAGAATCAGCAAATACCAAGTCATAAATAGAAAAGCAATAGCATAGCTTCCTGGATAATTTCAGATTTAAGACAAAAATGTGAATAAGAGATTAATTTATTTGAGTGTCAAGTTAGATTGTCAATTCTCAAGTATGTGTTACACAGTCACTTTCATAAAACAATAGTGTAAATAGCAGCACTAATGACTGAGGTCTCAATCAGAGATGTGGGCCTTACATTGGCGATCACAGCTGTGTGTGCAATGAAGTTCAGGATGGGGAACCATATCCCGATGTCAGGGGCTGGCTCCACCACTGCTCTTCTGAACTCACACAAAAACTTCTGTGCGTCCAAGCGGATCTCCACCCAATTATTCAACAATGCAAAAAGAGGGGCCAGAGGACAGGCCGCCACAAACACTGTTATAAATCCAAACTGGAGAACTGCAAGTGACAAAAGTCTCACTTTCAGCAAGAAAGCACATTATAAACTTTAAACAAACAAGCATGAAGAATGAGGAGCAGGACTGACCTATCTCCAGATATTCATCAAACAGACCCTCACAGGGCAGTAAATAAAAATCCCGTTCCCAAGGTGTCACTTCCTGTTTCTGCTCCTCATCCTGGGCCTTTCTTAAACCCCGGTTGCGCCACCAGGCAAACAATTTCCTGCAAAAAGCACATGATTATGATTAAATGAATAATATGTATACTACTTATAGCACTTTTCATGACACCAAAAAACACTTCGCATTCAACCACTCTAGTGTGACACATGATATTGTCTGGTGTGCTGCAATAAATGCGCCTATTTTGTCTAAAAATAAATGCATTCACCGTTGGCGAGTGCTGACTTGTTTTGAAATGTGAAGTAACCACGTAATACTCGTTCATATTAAAACAACAAAGTACTTAGCTAAGTACTTTGAAAAGTAAGAATTGGGTGCGACCAACAAATGTAACAGGTAGCGAGGAGCATTGTGGCGAGTGAGAAGTGAAAGTGATTGAAACATTTTTGAGAAGGAATTATGCCATTTCTGAACAGGATTCACATTCCCCGCTCTGACCCCGGGGCAGCTGTGGCTGCGTTGTACTGACAGCCGCTTTTACAACAGCTCAGCTGGTTACCTATTTTTTCCCATGCATTAATAAGGCATGTTATTTGTGCACAAAAGTAAAATGTTCTGAACAAATCAAACAGAACACACAGGAGGCATTTTTTTAATTATTATTTTACAAACATAAGAGTCATTAATTGACTTTTTGGGCTGAGAGTGGATTTTTTTATGTTTTTTTCCCACACAGTTGGTGCCACTTTATTCCCAAACCCTTGTTAACTCATTGTATTGAGAAATACAAAGCTTAATGTCAAGGCCTCAGCACTTTGATGAGAATGACTTTATATTGTAAATATAGGCTACAGAGCATATATTTTTACATTTTCTCCTGGTAGTGTGCCGCAAGATTTGTTCAATGAAAAAAGTGTGCCTTGCCTCAAAAAAGTTTGAATAACACTGCTTTACAGCCACATTCTCATGTTGTTAGTTTACCTATGGACCAATTCATATGTGTATATTTTGTGTCTTAACTGTTGATTCTCTGATCTGTGTTGGTGATTTCAATGGTTTTGTTAAGTCCTCTGAGATGACTTCTGTTATGATTTAGGGCTATACAAGAATAAGTTGTTGTTGTTGTTGTGACTGCTGGGCATGCGATATATGGGGGAATTTATTTATTTTATTCATAATAAACAAATACGTTTGGCGTAATGAGTTTCGTTTATGCGGCAATCGAAACTCATGAGGTCACCGAGTAGGATCACTACTCATCATTGTGTGTGTGTGTGGTTGGGAACCCTTCTGGACATTTTAAACTGAAAATACTGCTGCTGCTATAGTTGCTTTGTTTGACCTCTTGATCTGCAAAACTGATATATATATATATATAATGGGCTTGTTCACACTAAAGGGCACAAAAGTGTGACAAAAGGCCAAAAATTAGATTTTAACAATCAGAAGATATTTTATGTTTTTCATGTTTCCAAACACCTCCTCTGTCCATTAGAAGTTGCTAGAACATAACTGTTTTATACATTTGACAAGTTTCCTATAGCAGCCCTGTTTATTTTATGTAACGGACGTGATGATTTGACGGAATGAGCTTTGCGGAAGTTTGATAGGTATTTTCAGATGTCCACAATTGATTCAGAGATTCTATTTTTTTACACAGAGTAGAAACAAAGTGATACTTTCATTTAGTCAACCAATTAAATGTGAAACCAGACAAGATTTTTTTCTTTCTCAAGTTTAAATTTTAGAGAAAAGAGGACGGAAACCATCACGTCCGTTATACATTTTTCAAGGGTCATTTAATTAATTAATTATTTTTTATTTTTTAACGATTCCTTTTCATATCAAGTCAGGAAATCGATTTCCTGATGTTGTGTTAACCATAATAATCTTGTGGGATTTCATCTGCCGCTTTTTCAGACTGAGGACATTTTATTTTCTATGTAACTGGCGTCACAGTAGAATGGTCAAAAAAGAGGCTGATTTTGTCGTTTAAAATGTCACCAAAAATATATTTGACAATCTTTCCTTTTGATTTTATCCACACTATCTCTTTGATGTGTCTGTGTTTGAAATCTTTTTTTCCAATCTATGATAGTAATTTTAGTTTTTAAGTTATAACCTTTTAAAGTCGAGATACTTCAATTGACACTTAACTGTGAACACACTCATATATATACACTGTATATATATCCAAGATGTCTTTGTTGTTACTTGTTCACAGTATGGCACCCGTCGGTAAACCATAACTTCTGTCTTTTGTGTATAACATTACTTGCCTCACACTTCCCAGAGAGCCCCATTAAATCAGTGTGTTTGTGTGTGTGTGTGCGTGTGTGGGGCAAAAACGGATGTTTGGCTTTATAATTCTGTTAAACCAAATTTAACAGAATTATAAAGTTAATTTTCAGCCTTTGTTTGTTAGTTACCGTGGCTACAGGTAAGCCAAAACTGTTGGATATTTGGAAGAGAGACCGGGCCACAGTGACTAGTTAGTTAGTTATTTATTAATTTCAAAACCTGCGCAAAACAAGATACAAATATCTATTATCAGATGAAAATAGTGTCACAAGTTTTGAAAAGGGGGTTAGGTGAAGCAGACGCTTCTACATTTCCAACCCCCTAATTAATGGAATATTATTTCATCCTTTAAATCAGTCAAAGTCTGTGTGTGTGTGGGTGTGTGTGCAAATGGCACAGGCCACATCATTTGACAATATTTAGCTCACTTTTCTGGTGTCCCCAGGTGACAGTTGTGTTTGCTGTGAACTCTTTGCAAACCAAAATGAACCCTAGGATGAGGTGGGCACCAAGTTTGGCCAACGCATTCAAAGCATTCATCTATCAGAGCCAGTTTTCCCTACCGGTGGAAACATCAGGTGCAGGATTTAAATTCCCTACTGGCATCCTTCATTTTGAAAAATGTATTGCTTGAAAAAATTTTTACGGTGATGTGATTTTTCTGCATGTCTGTGCTTTATGTTTAACAACAAAAATACTAGTGTTATTCACTTAAACATAGTGAAGAGTGTGTGTCCCTAATTATACCATGAATATATTTTGCAACACAGTATAAAGTAGATAATATTACAACATGGCATGCTTTGTAATTGTTATACACAAAAATTACTTTAACCCCTTATAAAACTGTGAAGGAAAGTAGCACATTAGTTTGAATAGTATCTTTGCTGTGACTTACGGAGAGACAATCTCTTGGATGTTGTTGATGGTCTGTTTTCCCACCATGATGACCAGAAGCTCCTGAGCCAGTTCTATGAGACAACCTCCAGAACCACACTGGAACACAAACAGCACAACTTACTGTCACAACCAGGAGCCAGCCAAAGTACTTCCACAGAAGAACATGTTACCGCAAGTTGAGAGAAAAACTTACATCCTCAATGCGGACACCAAATATACTGTTGTAGTCTCCTGGGACTCCCACAAACCTGAACAAAAGGAGGAGCATCAGACCTGGACTAAACAGGACAGAACTATGCTCACTGTGAAATAGACGGTACCTCCCCTTGAAGAAGGCGATATACACTGGTGATGAGTAGAAATTTACAAACTGGAAGATGAAGACCTTGAGCGTATACATGTCCTCGAACTCTGTCTGAGTGCGGTGCATCTCTGGATCAGGCACACACAAAATGTTTTGTTTATCATGAATAAATGCTTGGTTTGAAAGATGAATCAAACTATCCAAAGGACTCACCCCAACTTGTGAGAATATAAGCCAAGTTAGTGTAGCCTTTCGACAAAATCATGATCACCACAAGATTCAAGAGTGAGCCAGTAAAACTGGCAATAGCCCTAGCCTATAACAAAGAAGAGAACACTATATGACAACTATCTGTCAACAATTTTCACCTCTCCTCAACCCCCACAGCTCAAACGACACCACACCAACTACCTCCCAAGAATCCCCTCCCCCCCATCTAGACAATAGCTGAAGATTTCTGAAGACTTCAACCCTGCAAATCTCTAGGTCCAGACAGCGACTCACCCGCCTCTTTTTACGGAAATGTTTAACTCAGTGATGTTGTCCGGCATGGCACAGCTGGGGCCCCACCCTGGAGCTAGGCCTGGGGTTGGGCCTCGAAAACAAGCGACTGATTGCCGGGCACTAGCCCACGGGGCCCGGCCCACTAAGCCCGAAAGGACTCTTGTGGGCAGGCCCTCCTGTGGACCCACCACCCACAGAGGGATCCGTGGTGGCAGGGTGCCGAGAGGACTGGGCAGCAGTCGAAGGCGGAGACCTCGACTACCCAGTCCACGCGCACAACATCTGGCTCTTGGGACGTGGAACGTCATCTCACTGAGGGGAAAGGAGCCTGAGCTCCTGGGGGAGGTTGAGAGATACCGACAAGAGATAGTCGGCCTCACCTCCATACACAGCTTGGGCTCTGGAACCCAACTCGTTGAGAGGGGTTGGATGACCAACTTTTCTGGTGTTTCTCGCGGGGAGAGGCGGCGAGCGGGGGTGGCCATTCTCATTGCCCCCCATCTTGGCCGCCATGTTGGAAATCGTCCCTCCATCTTTGGGTGGGGAACAAGTCTCTCACTGTTGTGACAGGCTACGGGCCTAACAGCAGTGCAGAGTATCCAGCCTTCTTGCAAAACCTGGTAGGGGTATTGAACAGTACACCGAACGGGGACTCTGTTATTCTCCTGGTGGACTTCAACACCCATGTGGGAAATGCCAGTGACACTTGGAGAGGGGTGATTGGGAAGAATGACCCCCCTGATCTGAACCCGAACAGAGTTCAGTTGTTGGACTTCTGTGCTAGTCACAGTTTGTCCATCACGAACACCATGTCTGAGCACAAGGGTGTCCACCATTGCACGTGGCACCAGGACACCCTAGGCCGGAGGTCGATGATCGACTTTGTTGTCGAATCATCTGACCTTTGGCCGCGTGTCTTGAACACTCGGGTGAAGAGAGGGGCGGAGTTTTCAACCAATCACCACCTGGTCGTGAGTTGGATACGCTGGCAGGGGAGGAAGCCGGTCAGACTTGGCAGACCCAAGCATGTAGTGAGTGTCTGCTGGGAACACCTCGCTGAGCCCCCTGTCAGACAGACTTTCAACTCGCACCTCTGGGAGAGCTTCTCCCAGGTCCCGGAGGAGGAGGGGGATTTTGAGTCTGAGTGGACCATGTTCTCCACCTCTATCACCGACGCAGCACCTCGTAGCTGTGGTTGCAAGGTCACTGGTGCTGGTCCAGGCGGCAACCCCCAAACCCGGTGGTGGACACCAGCAGTAAAGGATGCCATCAGGCTGAAGAAGGAGTCCTATCAAGCCATGATGGTTCATGGGACTCCTGACGCAGCTGTCCAATACCGGCAGGCCAGGCCTTCCGCAGCCCGGGCTGTTGCAGAGGCAAAACCAGGAACTGGGAGGAGTTCGGAGAGTCCATGGAGCATGACTATCGGCCGGCCCCGAAGAAGCTGGCGTCTCAGGAGGGGGAAGCAGTTCTTTGCCAACACTGTGTACAGTGCGGGTGGAGAGCAACTGGGGATATTGTCGGGTGGTGGAAGGAATACTTCGAGGTTCTCCTCAATCCCCCCGTCACGTCCTCCGTTCTGGAGGAAGAGGCTGAGGATGTTGGGGCGGATGCTTCCATCTCCCTTGCTAAGGTCACCAAGGTGGTTGGCAGCCTCCTTGGTGGCAAGGCTCCGGGAGTGGATGAGATCCGTCCTGACCATCTAAAGTCTCTGGATGTTGTAGGACTGTCTTGGCTGACACGTCTCTGCAACATCGCGTGGCGATCAGGGGGACCGGAGGGTGTGTTCCAATTATTGTGGGATCATACTCCTCAGCCTTCCCGGTAAGGTCTACTCCAAGGTACTGGAGAGGAGACTATGACCAATGGTCGAATCTCGGATTCAGGAGGAGCATTGTGGTTTTTTTCCCGGCCGTGGAACATTGGTCTAGCTTTATACTCTCCATCGGACACTCGAGGGTTCTTGGGAGTTCGCCCAACCTGTCCACATGTGCTTTGTGGATTTGGAGAAGGCGTTCGACCATGTTCCCAGGGGTGTCCTTTGGGGGGTACTCCGGAAGTATGGGGTCTGGGGTCCTCTGCTGAGGGCCGTTCGGTCCCTAAATGACCGGAGCCAGAGCTGCTTTCACATTGCCGGCAGTAAGTCAGACCTGCTCCCGGTGCATGTTGGCCTCCGCCAAGGCTGCCCTTTGTTTCAGGTTCTGATCACTGTTCTTTTTTATTTTTAGGCGCAGCCAGGGGCCGGAGGGGGTCCAGTTCGGAGACCACAGAATCTTATCTCTGACGATGTTGTCCAGTTGGCTCCAACAAACCAGGACTTGCAACATGCACTTGGACGGTTTGCAGCGAAGTGTGAAGAGCTGGGATGAGAATCAGCACCTCCAAATCTGAGGCCATGGTGCTCGACCGGAAAAAGATGCCTTACTCTCTCCAAGTAGGTGGATAGTTGTCCTTCCTCAAGTGGAGGACAAGAATCTCGGGGGCTTGTTCACGAGTGAGGGAAGGATGGAGCGGTAGATTAACAGGCGGATCGGTGCAGCGTTCTATCGCTCACCTATGGTCATGAGCTTTGGGTAATGACCGAAAAAACGAGATCGCGAATACAAGCGGTCGAAATGAGTTTCCTCCGGAGTGGCTGGGCGCTCCTTTATAGATAGGGTGAGGAGCTCAGTCACACGGGAGGAGCTTGAAGTAGAGCCACTGCTTCTCCACATCGAGAGGCCTCCTGAACGCCTCCCTGGGGGAATATGTCTCTCAGCTGGCCTGAGAACGCCTCGGGGTCCCCCCTGACGAGCTGGAGGAAGTGAGTGTGGATAGGCATCTCAGACCGCTGCCCCCGCGACCCGGCAACAGATGAAGCGGTAGAAAATGGATGGATGGATGAATGGATGTTTAACTCCTCCCTGGAGTGATGCCACATCCCATTCTGATTCAACCGGCTGGTGTCCAGGTGTCTGCTACTACCCAGAGGAGGTGGAGAAGCTGGTGTCCTGGTGTATACTACAGGAGTAGGTGTGCCGGCTGGTGTCCTAGTGTCTGCTACGGGAGGAGGTGGGCCTGGTGGTGTCTGCTACAGAAAGAGGAGCGGCTGGTGTCCTGGTGTCTGTTACAGGAGCAGTTGGACCAGCTGGCGTCCTGATGTCTGCCAGAGGAGGACGTGGACCAGCTGGTGTCCTGGTGTCTGCTACAGAAGGAAGACCGGCTGGTGTCCTAGTGTCTGCTACAGGAGGAGGTGGGCCTGCTGGTGTTTGCTACAGAAAGAGAACCGGCTGGCGTCCTGATGTCTGCTACAGGAGGAGGTGGACTGGCTGGTGTCCTGGTGCAGTGATAACAAGCTGAACGCCAAGAAGACAATTGTGGACTTCAGGAAGACTACAGGCCTTACAATCACTATTGCTTGTCCGCAACATTTACCAAAGAAAATCCCTAAATTGGCAAAAAAAAGACTTCTGAAACCAGAGAGATTTAGTCCCTCATTCAAATAGCATGGAGCAGAAATTTTGCAGAAATTATGTTAAGCCTCCCAAACACCTGGAGCCAGTAGGCGGCTGAAACTCACAGCAGTGGAGACCAGACCAGTGGTGGACGTGTAGATGACCACAGTGACAACAGAGCGGTACAAGATAATGGCGGTCAGGCATATCAGCACCACTGCAATCTGAAAAAGCACACAATTACATCACCATAGGCTTCTACACAATTACCCCACCTCCTCCCAGTGTGTGCACAGTACCATGATGATGAGGACTGAACAGCCGGTCAGCGTCCGGTTATTACGAGTGGAGCTGGGAAAGTATGGTTCCTCCAATCCTGTCACAGGGTTCTTGGTGGTCAGAGGCGCCGTGGCAGCAAATTCTGGCCGTGGACGCTCCTATTGGACAAAGGACAAATACACATTCTTTAAATTTCAAACATAGTCACAGTTTTTTTCCAAATCAAGGCAAACCAACTCCCAAAGGTAAATGAATTCATACTTTCATACAAAAGGTGCAACACAAAGTTCTTTACAGTCATTAAAAAATAAATAATAATCCTAAATTAAAGCCGCAAGTGGTGATGAAAGGCCTAGCTATTCTCGTGGCCGCCTCCCGGGCGCCAGTCCCACAAGCATCAAGCGGCGTACTCACAGACGAATTTGCAGCCCGATCGGACCAGGATAAGGCACGGAAAAGCTCATTAATAGAATTCAGTGCGCCCCTAGTGGTCACCTCCAGGACATGCACCCTCTACGTGAAGTAGTATTTTGCTTGCACGGATGTAAAGAATTGACTGTGCGACTTTGATGAGGATTGGAAAAGTTTAGGTCAGAAGCCTTCCATAGGTGGCGCTCTAGAGTCATATTTGGTGTGTATTTTCCAAGCCCCGGTGATCCAAGATGGTGCCCTATTCAAATGAATGGCTTGTGCTTAGTAGCACATGGGACTTCATGGAGACCGGGAGATTAGCTGAACTCGCATCGTCTGGTCCTCCCGGTTCTGCGCAGTGGATTAGCACAACGCATGATGGGAGATATCTCAGGATGAGAAAGATATCTCAGGATGACAAGGAACACTAAAATCCCCACAAAATGCGAACTTTATGAATGCTGTTGCTCTCTGTCAGCTGAGGTCGAGCTGTTTTTATTTACATTGAGTTCTATGGAACTTTTTTCTGGGTAGCCCTCATGAATTTAGTCTGCAGTACCACGGGCGCCCCCTGTGCCCATAGGTGGGACAGTTATAAGCTAGTAATACCCTATCCAGTTATTATTATAGATCCATTGTATTTTCACACCATTACGCTCAGCCAATTACCAACTGTTAGTTATGTAAGTTTCAGCTTTGTAGGTCGGAGCCTGTGGTCAGGAGAGAATCAAACATGGAGAAATTCCCCACCACCTTGCTTCAAAACAATGAGGAAATTCTAACTTTTTCTTGATGGCTGTATAACTTCAATCTGTCCAGATGGAGAAATGATGTGGTGGAAGTCTCTGCGATGAAAAACCAGGGACAAAAACACAACACCTTGAACTGCCTGTAGGTGGCGGTGTTGCACTCACAGTTGTGTGTTGCATAATGTTGTGTTCACAGTCATATGCTGTATTTGTGATTTTATTTCTAGCCTCATCTGACAAACATTTTGCCCCAAAAAGCAAAAGTGTGAAACTTACAACTTTTGCATAATGTAATGTTTTGCTCTTGCACTCAGCGATTTTCGGGTCGATCTGAGCACTTAGTGCCCTATTACTTTCCGACAGGTGGCGCTAAAGAGCTCATATTGAGAGAATGATTTTAGTCTCATTGCGTTCAGGCCATTGCCTAATATTACTGATGTGAGTCTCAACTATGTAGGTCTGAGCCTGTGGCCCTCAGGGCTCAGCGAAAACACCCAAAACAAAGGCCTTATTTGCCATGGCGACAGACGAAAACAGTGTAGAATTTCTGAATTTTTTGCGTCATTTTATTGACAAAATTGGGATGCTCATTTGCTGTGGCTAGGACAAACTTGTCTTTTGAACATTTCGGGTGACGTGGTAAAGTGACGTCTGAAGAAAAAAATTCATGTTGCAAATAATTACTGATGTACAACTGAATCCGTGTATCATCCATTCATTTGATTTTCTAAATAAAACCAACATTTCAAAAACAAATAACGAGGGATGTTTTTGATTCTCAATATTTGACTTGAATGCAAGATTGAAATATTGGTTTGCTTTTTTGTTTTCTGTGGATCCAATTTTAAAAAAAATGCACTAAACCAATGATGACCGTCTAATTTACTTTTTGTGAATTTAATTGGACACACCGGAGTCCCCCGGAAGTGATTGGCAAGTGTGCGTTTTTCACGAGAACCGAAAGTGCAGCCTCCAGGTACTTGGATCGCATCTTGTTTGTGCTGGTTGTACGGAGAATAGGCTCTTTTAATATTCTCAGCAAAATTAGTCAGTTTACCAGATTTTTCGTTCGCTGCTTTAAAAAGCATGGAATTAATTTCTACTGCTGATGACACACAGCTTTATCTGTCGATGAAGCCAAATCAGACGGATCAGCTAGAAAAGCTTAGTGCCTGCATAAAGGACCTTAAAACGTGGATGACTCTTAACTTCCTACTTCTCAACCCGGAGAAGACAGAAGTGATGCTACTCGGTCCGAAGCGCCTGCGTGACTCCCTTACTGACCAGATAATCACTCTCGATAATGTCAGTATTATACCCAGTAACACTGTGAGGAATCTTGGAGTAATTTTTGACGAAGAACTCTCCTTCAAGGCTTATATAAGCCAAGTGACTAAAACGGCGTACTTCCACTTACGGAACATCGCTAAAATCAGGAATTTTCTTCCTAAAAGTGACGCGGAAAAACTTATTCACGCTTTTGTCACCTCAAGACTTGACTACTGTAACGCTTTATTGGCAGCATGCCCTAAAACCTCTTTGAAGAGCTTCCAGCTCGTTCAGAATACAGCAGCTAGGATCAGGAGGGAGCACATAACTCCGGTGTTAAAATCACTGACTCCCTGTGGAGTACAGAATAAAGTTTAAAATCCTTCTCTTAACATATAATTGGCTCCTTCCTATCTCCAAGACACGTTAGTGTCATATCAACCAAGTCGAGCGTTGCGCTCACAAGAAAAGCTTAGTGCTTAGTGGTGCTGTAACCCTGAATCTTGGTGCTGTAACCTAGGCTAGCCTAGCCGTGACTGCTGCTGTCTCACCTCCTTTCAGATACGCTCTCTTTATTCAAGGCTAGGCTTAAAACAGTCCTCTTTAGTTTAGCATATGGCTAGGAAGGTAAGACTCAGGGAAGGCTAAACTCCTCAGACTGTCAGTCAAGCTGCATAGGGAGTCAGTTTGCTGGGAGAAGTATGATAACTTGAGCACTATCCTCTCCTCCTTCCTACTTTACCTGTTTAGCATTATTAGGATTTTGACTGTAGTTTGTTCATTGCTATTCACCCGTTGTCCCATTGTCTGTTTCATGGTACGATGACGGGATCTCTGAGCCTGGCCTCCTCCATCTACACCTGCGGACTGCCCTGCCCAACCCGCCTGGGACTGGAGTGCTTCAGTCCTGCACCGGACCTGTCCACGTTCAGCGGCCACTGGTCCACGTTCTGTACAGTAGGTCCCATTTCGTTTTGTCGCCTTTCAAGCGTGAATCACACGAGACTCACGTGTGATTCACGCGTCTTTTATTTTCCTTCCCCCCAGTGACGCTGCAATGACCAAAACAACCACCAGGTGGCACTTGTGAGCAGGGTTACATTGGCGTCTCATCGCTCTTTCTTCTCTCTTCACCGGACAACTATCTGTGGCTTTAAGCCTAGCGTACTGTACATCGGACTGATTATATCCGTCGCCTATGAGTTTCTGCCCCGCGCACATCAACAATCTGGTTAAAACGGGCAACTCCTTGTAGCAGGCCAGTCTCTGGAATAACCCGCAGACATTAAAACTACTGCATATAACGTAAACTTTTGCATCACGTTGGTGATCTTTCCAAAAAGAGAGAATATCGTTATGGAAAGAGAAACTATTGGTAATATAACGCTGAACGTTATCTGACTCAAACAGCTCCGCTGGTGTCTCCTCCCACTCAGAAAAAAAGCAGACGCCTTTTCTCTGGCATCTCTAACATTTATAATAAATACATAAATATAACAATCATAATGAAGATGCTTTCAAATAATTTAGCAAGCTGTAATTCATTTATTTTAACTCCACACGGCTCCTCCCCTGCCAAACTCCTCTCGCTGCTCTCTCCTCCGCAAACCACTAAATGAGGAAAAGGGCATATTCACTCAATCTATTTTGAATGTTACACATACAAGTCTAGTCTAAGCACGTGTAACACCTGTAGCCCGTGTATTTACCACAGTGTATTTACCACAGACTGTAATTAAAGTAATGAGGCCCCTGCTGTAGGCCTCTGCTGTGAGGCCCTAATGTACCTACCAGTAGCGGCGCCAGGTTTGCAATTTTGGGTAGGCCTGCAGATTAGTAAGTAGGCCAAATTCGCTTGCAAACTACAAAGGCTAGCTGGAATTGGGGTTTCAAAGAATATGGCTCAAACGCACACACGCACGCACACGCACTCACGCGTGCACATACACACAAGCTCATTTATGAAACTTGCGTAAAAAAAGGTGTACATTTTGGGTGTATATTCCATTTACGCAAAATCCACTGTCGGATTTATGAACATGTGAGATCCGCCCAGATCTGAGCGTACGCAGCTGCGGGTGTTGATAAATCGACTGAATACGAAAATATTTATGAAAGTCACACCTAGAATTATGCAGCAATCGCGTGTTTCACGCCCCGTCTTCGTGACAGGTCAGCAGGAAGCCGGCCTAAAAGACTGTTTGGAAGCCTCAAAAGGGACGTTTGTTTGTTCATGTTTATGTAAAAATTAATATACTCTATATATTCAGCTGCGTTTTAAACAAATTTGCTAAAATGTTTTGATACATTAGAAAAATCTCTCTTGAATTGTAGAAGTGAATAAATATAGATTGATTGAATGAATGAATAATTCATATATATTATGCAGCGGTGGCTCTGAATGAAGCGTCTGCAGCGTCTTGGACGCAGCCTGGCTCGGGGTAGAAGTGCGCATTGAAGCGCTGTACACTTCAGAGAGCGTTTGCGGTCCAGATTTCACAAAGAAACTCTGGAGCCAAAACTTCTGCACATGTGGCGCGATCTCTCACGGCACTCGCTGCACACTCTGGACAGGGCAGTGAGACATTTGTGAGTGAGCAATACCATCGATGCGTTATTGGGGTGTGTGTCTGTGTGAGGGTTACACAAATCTAATGAAATAACACATTGCTTTAGATGTGAATGAGGAATACAAATAGCCGTGCGTAATTACGCAGCACAGAGCCTGC